TTTGAAAGGAATATATGTTCTTCAACAACAATATCATAAAAAAGATAAAATTGAAGGCTTATTCGGGAAATAAAAGATTATTTATAGAAGAAATGCTGCTTTAAAAAAAGAGATTTTTTTTCTATTTATAGAATTTATATATGTATACGGGAACGCCGCGAGTTTATTCCGCCATGCGAGAGAGATGAGGACACCGAGAGAGATATGTCGGGATGATGCGCCGTGTTCCTCGCCGCGGAACGATACACTGCCGGGTATTGTGTTTCGCCTGGTTCTGCTGGAGATACGCAAGAATATCTAGTAGCCGGTCGGCGGTTTTGTCAGATAATCGCGCCGCCTTCTGTCATGTATGTCTGACGTGTGCCAGCTCGCGCGCTCCAGGGCCGGTTTACCATCGCCATCGTCATTTCGCGATGTTTATTTGCGAGTCGTGATCAAAGAGATTTTCGATTCCGCTATGATTAAATCACTACGCTCATAATCGGTGATAAGCATCTTGATCCTCATTGATAGTATTGTAATATTGCTTCTCAGTTTTAAAGATTTTCGAGAGATAATTCTAAGATACTAAAAAATATATTTTATTTTTTATTAGATAAATTTCAAAGCCATTTATCGTACTTTACGAAAATTTTTTTTAACTTGTTAAAGTTTAATGGTAAATGCCTTGATTGATCCAAAAAGTTCTCAATTTCTACAATTTTTTAATCTTTTATAAATTATCCAAAATAAGGCAATTAGGTGTCTTATTATGAATCATTCGATTACGTCTACGCAAAGATTTCTTGTTAAAGCGGCCCTGCATGTAGATGAGAATGCGCTCGCGCGTGGACGCGTGATGTAACGAATTCGTGCAGGTAGCGTGACTTTGATTCCCACCGAATAGTCACGCTATTCGCGCTGCCAATCGAGCCGTGGTCGTTGCTAAGACCGTCTTAATACGATGCACGGCTTGCGGAAGGCGCGCGAATAATTTGTCGCGGAGGACGTGCGAAAATTGCATGTACAAGCAGGCGCGCGAACCAGCAGGATGTACGTTGCGTTTTTGCACAGGTTGCTGCGGTTTCTTCCTCGCCGGCGAATATTCGCGGCGGGTACTTTGTTGAGGTAGCCGGAAGAATCATTTATAGGGTCTCGGGCAGAATCGCGAGTACTATCGCCCTTGAGATACCGCGTTATTGATGGCGCTTGTTAAAATTATTCGCGTGATTTATACCGGATTACGACCGTAAGTTGTTTGCGTTATCTGCCTCTAAGCACTCATCTCTCGTGTCCCGCTTCGAGAAATTTTATCAGAATTGCAGATAATTCGCTGCGCTCAACAGACGTAGTAATGTAATCCGTAAGTCTGACAAGTTGGCCTTTCTGTACTAACGCGCATATAATTCCCGACTGTATTCAACCGTTCTCTGCCTGGCCCTTTTAAGCGATTTACCGAGACTCCGCTTTGTACGTTAGACTATGGTGTTATAACTAATTATAGCGCTGGAATGCCAAAACGCCTGTGGCATAGCCACAGTATGTCATTGTAATCCTGTACTTTAATCCTGTATATATATATATATTCTTATCCCACAAATTATATCGCGTATAATACTAAAATACCGAATGTGGTAAAAAATAGTAAATTCCTGAACATGTATCTTTCTTTCTAAATAAAAAACGCGTAATGAATTTATATCCGAAACAAAAATATATGGTCAGAAAGTGAAGGGGAGGACGCAAAGGACGAAGAGATGACGAATGAATATGCTGGATTATTCGCGTTCGAGTCAGAAATATCAAGGGCGATTCATAACAATGAACGAGCGTCGCGTAAAAGAAAGCAGAACGAACTGGGCGAGAGAGAACAAGAGCGGCTACCTCTAAAAATACTTGCTTTTATGGGATCGTAACACCGTGAGTTCGTTTCTCGCGGGGCGTGCAGTCAGGTCTACCCACCCGCTCATAAATCCCTCTGGCCGTTAGGCTCACGTGTGAAATTACTATTACGTCTTGTGGTCCTACCGCAGCTGTTACTACGCGGAAACTGCCCGTGTACATACCCCTAAGTCCACGTGTTTCTCAGGGTTCAATCGCATAGGGCGAGGCTGCCTATCACGGCTAACCAGAAACGAAACGAGGATACTGCCTATTGAAGAAAACAAGTAATACCGTTGCTTTAAAATTAAAGTTCCACGATAGATGGATTTCTGAAAGTCTGCGATTATGGAATTGGAAAATGCTAGCGAAGTAGATTACTATAGTGGATTGATATGCAACGTAAAATATTCGCTTTTCTCTTGCAAAAGCTTTATTAAATTTTGCAATAATAATATATTTACATTCTTTAATAAAAATAAGAAATACGGGGTATAATTTAAATCATTATATCTTTGTAACAAAATTATGAATAAATTCTCAAATAAAAGTGATACATAACGAGATAATAATATTAATTTGCATTCTGATTATTCGCCAAAGATATTTATATTTCTTCATTCGTCACAGAATCTTAGATTTTGATTCCAAAATCCTTTTGTATAGAAAAATTTGGGATATTGAAAATTGATACAAATTAGTACAATATAAATGTTCTCAAGAATGAAGCTGTGATATATATCGTCTACTATTAATTTTGTGCAATTATAGGAGCAAGAAGTCGATGTATGCAATGAGCCGCGCCACTAATGTCAATTACCGTTAATCCACTTAATTGCTTGCGGTTAATTTCTAATTGAAAGTACAGTGCTGGAACGAATGGGCTTAATCTTCATCGATTATGTTAGAAGCCTGATAATGGCGATATGGCTGGATTATCTCGTTCTTGTTATTTCTCGTTTTTGTCATTTCCATTTGACAATTCATTTAAAAAAAAAGACGATTTTTTGTTACAAAGATGTAATGATTTAAATTATACCCTATCGAGTTTTAAACATTATTTCTTATTTTTAAAAAATGTTATCAGTGCACTATTTTTGCTATAAAAAGTATGTTATCGGTACTATTTTTCGAGCACAGAAGGCTTTAACGCAATAAACAAAAATACGACGCAATATGCGAGCAAAAATAACCAATGAAAATTCTCAATGTCACGAAAAAGAACGCACGCGATAATAATTGCGCAACAGTTTTTATCATGCTCTAATTGTTATTCCGCATAATTATTACTGCTCCCACTGTGGCTCACCTTTACTATTCTTTGGCCGGCCCATAACTGCGATGTAATCGCGAATGATAGTTTCCGGAACGCATCCGTGCAATTAATTAACACAATAAAAAGATAATATAAATATAATATTAATCTTGATGATTTGGTTTGTTACTATTTAAAAGATACCATTGAATGTAAATCTCAAATATCACGTATTAATAACTTTATGAATTTTAAAATAAAATTATTTAAGAAAAATTAAATTAAATATAATCAAGTACTATAATATGTTAATGAATATATTCCCTCTTATGTGTTACAAACAAACAATATTACTTACTTATTATATGTATATGAAAAGCCTCACTGTGTAATACAGTGCTTCTTTGTACTACATGCAAAAATAATAGCGATCGGTGTAGCGACTGTCATCCGTGCGCGAATAAATACAGGGTTTCGCGAATATATTATCCATCCGACGTCATACGCATGAAGGTTATCGCGACCGAACGACCGTATAATGTGCTATCTTATTGCCATTTTTGGCGAATAATTTTCAATGGCATCATCGTTCGCATGCAGGAAATCTAAACGGTAGAATTGTAATAAGATTTGCATTATTTCTTTTTTTATTCTGGATTGATGCAAAAAAAGCAAGCTGCAAATCAGATAAAATTATGTCTTGTATTTTTGTGACTTTTGAAAAGACTTTGATCAACACGGTAGATAGAAATTTGTTTTCTCGTCACGTAGATTGATTTACGAAATTGATTTGGATAGTACATAAGGGAAACCGTTTGCGAAAGCCGATGAACAAGAATAATTAGCGTACTGATTACTAGTCGGATATTAGTATTCCCTCTCCGCTGTACGCTAATAGAAAGTTATTCCGCCAACATTGTAAGTGGTGGTTTGTGCAATGCATGTCTCATTCTGATCGCAATTATGGTTATCATGAATTTAAACCGCTTTAATGCAATTTCCCGGATTAAATCGCCAACGCAATTAAATTTCGCATCGCTTATTTATTGAAATTTATATTCCGCGCATGAAAAAGACAAAGAGAGAAACCCGAAATTATGACAGGAAATCTTCCGTCGCACATAACGATAATTCTATTTTAATGTCGCGGTACGGATAACGAGTTACCAGTGTAGAACTTCCGGTGCGTAAAAAAAAAGAATAGCATAAAGAGACGGCATTTCCATTTGAATGCGGGGAAAACGCTCCTCCCCGCATCCAGAAAGAGTTCAGCGTTTTGGAAAGTTCGTACACGTGTCCTCCGGTCTCTGCATTTCGAAAACAGGTATTCGAGTCGGACGGGCGGCGACGACGTGTCGTGGGGAATAATTTCGTGCAACCTGCACGACGAAATGTTATCTGACAGAAGATTCAAACGAGCGTGCAAAAGTCGTGCGTTTCGAATGCAAACGCAGTTTCGCTTCTCTGTGCCTTCTCACGGAATAAATAAAAGTTATGTCCGATATGTAGAATCAATCGCTCTTGTGCGTGTCGCCGATTATATCATTATTAAATATTTAAAGAGATGCTTAGCGATAAATCGCGAGCTTTCATCGATGCCGATAAGCCATGCGAGTAAGATAGAGAGCCTTTGGTCCAGCTCGTGAGAAAAGGATCTTTCTAGGAGATTGATTATTTACTTTTCGTTTCTACTCTATCTCTAGTAATAGAAATGGTATAATTCCGATGAGTATAATTTCCGATGTTATGCAATTAACTATCTTTTAATATGAATTAATTTTTATAGTTGAGTTTTAATATAATAATTTTAAATTATAATTTAAACGCATGTGAAAAAAATTGGACATTAGATAAATAATTGTTAGATATTAATAAATTTGCTTACATGATGCTTGCTTCTTCCGATGTTGTTGACATTTTTCGATTGTGATTCGTAACCACCATTGTGCTGTAATAAAAAATGGAAAAGAATTAATCAACATGTTCACATGTTAAATAATGTACAAAAGTATTATATCTTTACATAATCACATTAAGATTTAAAATAATATAAATGTTACTGTCATTTACCATCATTCTTGTTACAAAACAATTAATTATTGCTTTATAAAATAACATTGCATTAGTATTATTTTTAATAAATTTTATTATCGAGAGAAGAATATAATAGCTCGGTTTTTTAGATTATAATTTCCTATTCACGCGCGCTGCGTAGAAAATACTATTATATCTTCATGGTTGTCTCAAGAAACGTTGTCTCAAGAAAATTAAGTGACATTATGGTTCATTGTTTCGGAATTAATGATATATAGTGTAAGATCTTTATCGTTTCAAAGAAACATTATACAACGACAGGTGCCGTAATAGTAAACTGTATTCAATATTTCTAAAAAAATGGTTGCATCATCAATATCTCTCAATTCAAATCTATAAAAACCTATTAAATATCTCAAATTGGATGGTCGCGCTGCGATGCACATACGATTACGCAATTATAGAAATGCAATAAACAAATTTAAATTTGAAAGGAATATATGTTCTTCAACAACAATATCATAAAAAAGATAAAATTGAAGGCTTATTCGGGAAATAAAAGATTATTTATAGAAGAAATGCTGCTTTAAAAAAAGAGATTTTTTTTCTATTTATAGAATTTATATATGTATATATATAATTTTAATTAATATTTTCGAATAAAACAATATTCTACAAGATTAACGTATGGTCAAATTTCCGTTAAAAACAAATTCCCATCATCTCTGAAGCTGTGAAAAGAATTTGTACATGACATTTACGAGAAACTACATTATGTAAATTAATACACACATCGCGCACGCGTGTAGAGGCACGCGTGCTGTTCGCACGCACCTCGCTCTCAATATGGAGGGCAGTGTGCCAGACGGTAAAGGCGATGCGGTGCAGAAGCGTTTCCGTTTCTTCGCGCAATGGCGTTTCGGCGTCCTTAAAATTATTGTTCGCGGTATCCTGTCGGGTGTCGCCGCATCGGCAGCAATTTGCTCGTAACCAAGCGCGCGATAGAGAGCTGCTGTTCGAGCTCGTCATCGGTGAGCGAGATAGAGGTCTTTATGTAATTCGTAATTTCCATATATCTTCCATTAGGCAAATGACGTCGGCGTTAAAACAGTCGAATGCTCCGATATAACAGCAGTAACGCGAATGATATCTGGCATCGATCACAAGGAATCGTTAGATTTTGCAAACGTCTTCATCGCTTTATTGTGTGTAATTTCCTCTTTTTTTTTGTCACTCAATCTTCGAGTAGTTATGCGCGGTCGATGTTCATTAATATCTTCTAGATGTCCAATCATGGGAATCATAAATCATTCTCTTCACCAACGTCGTCGACATTCATAAAAAGAAGTACAATAAGACCCGACATAACTGGCTTGGTTTATTCCCACAAAGCCTTCCGTATTTGTGTGGGATGTCTAATTTTAATTATATTAGTTATTAATTATCAACAATAGATTTCGGATCTATATCCGAAGACACCATGCTCACTTTGTTAAGCCGAGCATTGCCTCTCTTTTTCTTTCGCTTCTTTCTTCCCTTCTCTGTAAAAAATCTCGATGCTTGCCAAACGCGTTTCCCCAATACTACGCGTATTATCGATGTGTCGCTTCCGGGTCAAGTGTCGTATCAACATACATAGCGTAACGTAATTCCACTTTTCTCGATTATGTGAGCCAAACACTCAACCTTTATTGCGCCAGGATCAGATGGAAAAAGTTTTATCGTTATAGAACTTTTACTACTATTTGAGCATTTCTATTTCTGTATTTTGTACTGTAATATGTATGTTGTATATATGACATCGTGGGATTGTCATTATGAATTGTGTTTCTATATAACAAAAGATTACTAATTATAAGTTTTGAAAACTTTACAAGATTTTCTATTATAAATTTCTCACACGTACAGGATATAACAGATACATAAAATATATATAAATATATTAAATATTACTTATAAAGATTTCAACATATATATTCTTATCATTCGCGATTTTCTTATCATTGTAATAGAGGCTAGAACACGAATTTTTTTATCTCGATTGTCTCAACACTATCTGTTTACACTGTCATTTATTTCATTATAATTTGCATATTGCGGGTCGCGCAATGTCTTTTAATGAATTGTATCCCTCCATATATTCCACATTAAATTCTTATCAGCTCGAACAAATAAAAATCATTGATTGCACTTGCCGCGATGTAACCTTCAAAGCGTCATACGCAACCACGCCGCAGCTCCCGCGATCCCACCCTCTCGAGCGCCAATCAATTCACCTGCCGCGGCTCCGGCTTGCAGGTGTGTGCGTTCAAGGTCAATCGCGTTTCAAGGTACGCACCCCTCTCGTGGTCACGCTCTTGATTCATCGAGCGTTTCTCTCACCGAAGCCACTTTACGCAAGCTCGCAGCCGTCGTTCACGGCGTTCCCTTCACGTTCTCCTTAGAGTGTCGATGCGAAGAAACGAGGAATGATACGTTTAAAATTATCAAAACGAGAGTTCCGGCTACAGCGCGACCTGGGTCAACCGAACGTCTGCGCCGCACGGGAGCCGCCCCGGCGCTGCGGGTGTACAGAAGGTTGAAAGCCTGCATCTCTCCCGGCAGGCCGGGATGGTCCATGGCGGGGTAGCACGGGGTGAGAGAACTTGACACGTAACCATGGCGACCGTAGTCGGCATTACACGCAGGCTCGATCCTGCGCCGAGTGCAGATCCTCTCGTCGAGTACGACGCGAGCTTCCGGAGTGCCGCGCAAGCCGGCGAGGATATAGGGACGACACCTTCGAGTGGTTGAAACGCCACTCCCTTGAAATATAATTAGGCCACGTCGTTTCGTGTGGAATTTATCTCGGTGGATGTATCCCCCTCGAAGTATTCTCCGGGAGCGGGCGAGCGAGTCGGCCTCCGCGTGAATGGGACTTTAATGATACGGGCTTGCGATATTTATCTTAATGTCTAGATTGTCATAATCTATTGTTATACCTATAATATGTTTTACTTTTACGTGATCAATCAAAATATCCGGAAGAAAGTTTTAATCTTCATTTTAATAATACATCTTGTTTATTCAATTCTATTTAATAAAAATCGATGTCTTTATTTATCAATTAATTAAAATAATTCAGTGCAAATTTCATTATAATAATATTATTAAATATTCTTCTCAAATTTTGAAGAACTAATTCTCTCTTAGAAAATTTTTATTCTTTACTTGAAACGAGAAATCAAATAAAACGAGTGATTAAATGCATTTCGAACCACTTGCAAGGTTTCGCTTGCTCCTATCGATACGTTACTTAACCGCGTGAGTTTCCGCGCGATCGCATCGCCAATAAAGAAAAGCATAGCCGAGTAGGTCGTAAGTGTGCCACTCCCTGGAATACAATTAGGCCACCTGGTGATGTACACGCAATTTCTCCAATGTCATTTACTTTGTACATACATCTAAATTTTGCGCGTTACCGGGATGCACGTTTGAACTTACTAATTTGTAGCTCGGCAGGGAGATTGTGGAGAATGAGATTCATGAGTCGCGACAGTAGATGCAATTTTTAATGTGTTCTAACAAAATTTCCATTCCGCGAGTGATGAAATAACTTTACGAGAACGTGTCGTGACACGTGTAAAATGTCTTCGCGTACTTGACATACCACGCCCTTGCAATATAATTAAGTCAAGCTTTTACGTTAAAATCATAATGATGTGTGGGGTTAATTTTAGGGAAATTTCATTTATCTTGGGAAAAGCGAGCAAAGTCACACATTATTAATTTTTCTATTCATTTTTATCATATAAAATCTAGAATTAAAATTGATTAAATATAGTACAAATAATGATTTAAAAATCTCTCTTATTTATAAAAGATTGGTAATACAATTATATAACTATTTAGTTAAACCTTAATCAATACTAAATTGAAATATTGAGTTATAAATTTTATTTTACATTAATTTGTATGGAAAAGCGATAAATCAATATTTTTTAAATATTGCCATATCTGCGTTTGATCGAAATAAAATGTAGACTTTTAAGACGAACTCTTTTGGAAGTTTTTCTTGGTGATTCATCTGTTCTGACGCAATACATTAATTTCCAAGCGAAAGAAACACCAGCGACATTTTACGACAAGATAAATCACAAAAAGAGGGTCGATAGACCTTCGTAGGTGAAACACGTTTTACCAGGACTAGGTAACCAGATAAATACAAGAATGTCCTTGGCAAGAGAAAGATCGCAGATGGAATATATCGCCTCTATATTAATGTTTAGATTCCGACTGGATTGCGAAAACTGTACGATTACTAAATCTGCCGCGTAAAAATGCGAATAGCGTGGCTTCGGTTATAAAAAAGCGAACAGAGGCCTCCTCGTTTAAATTCACATTCATGAATAGTAAAATATCGGGACAGTGCGGTATAAAACGTAGTATTTTTAGATTTTGTTGAAAGCATTATGCCGCGTACAGTATCACTTCTAAAATATTGCGCATACACACAGTTTACAGATTAACATAATCTAACATTATAAATTATAACATGTCAAACACACACACATACATACACACATAATGTTGCGTTGATCATTATTATGAAATAATAATATTGCGGGCTTTAATATCGAGCTTTAATTGGCTTAATCTCTTAAAACATGTTCTATATATTTTAACTGTCAACTGAATTCGCACTAATTAATGCGTGCGATATATTCGATCGAAAATGATACATTTTATCGTCAAAAAGAAAAATCGATATAATCATTAAATAGGATTACGCGACGAGGACTTTCGCTATTTCTCGTAATAATCCGAATGAATCTTTGATTTATCCTCACTACAGTATATATATAAAATAACATAATTTGTTGCAGATATAATTTAAAATATTGTCGTCAAAAAAAAGTCCTTAACACTAGCTTC